TCTTTCTTTCTTTCTTTCTTTCTTTCTTTCTTTCTTTGTTTCTTTTTTGAGACAGGGTTTCACCATGTCAACCAGGCTGGAGTGCAATGGTGCAATCACAGTTCACTGCAGCCTGGAGTGCAATGGTGCAATCACAGCTCACTGCAGCCTCAAACTCCTGGGATCAAGCGATCCTCCCATCTCTGCCTTTGGAGCAGCTGGGATTAGAGGTGTGAACCACCATGCACGGCTATTTTTTTATTTTTTGAAAGACAGTGTCTCTGTGTGTTGCTCAGGTTGGTCTCAAACTCCCGGGCTCAAGTAATCCTCCCACCTCAGCCTCCCAAAGCACTAGGACTACAGACATGAGCACCACATCCAACCTCTAATTCCCGTTTTTAAAATGCACCTTCCAATTCCACTCTGGGGATAAAGGAGTCACAGAGCCTGACTCTGGCTCTCCCCACCCATATCATTCAAGCCAGATGGGGAGGCAGGGACAGCTCTGATCCCTCCCCAACTGGGTAGAGATTTCCAGCCCAGCTGTCACAGCTCTAAGACACAGGGACCGAGGGAGAAGCCAAGAGAGGCAGGAAGAGGTGGCAAAGGAGTGCTACAGAAGATAAAGAGGCTGAGCTCCGACAGGGAGCAGGGAGGAGGGGCCATCTTGAGACTGGTGCCCTGCAAGCTCCACCCCACCCCTCCATGCAGTTCCCCATGGGCCCTGCCTGCATCTTCTTGAGGAAAGGCATTGCTGAGAAACAGCGGGTGAGGTGGGGAGAGAGGGAAGGGTGGTGGGCAGGGCAAGGGGAGCAGGAGTGTGGGACAAAGAAGAGGACATGATGGTGCCATAGAACCAGGGGAACAGGCTGATAGAGCAGGAGCTGAGAGGTACAAGAATTCCAAGGACCGTGGTGGGGTCATGTAAGCCAGTGAGATAAATGGGTGGGGGTAAAATCAGAAGTCAGGAGCAAAAAGAAGAAGAGAAAGGGAAGAAAAATGAAGAGAAGTGGGATGATGTCATTGTTGAGATTACCATTATCCTTTTCTATGGATGCTTATTGTGATAACAGTGGTGATGGTTTTGATGATGGTGGTGGTGGTGGTGATGATGGCGGTGGTGGTGATAATGATGGCATTGATGATGGTGCTGATTATAGTGGTGATGGTGGTGATGATGCTGGCAGTGGTGATGGTGGTGGTGATGGTGATGATGGTGGTGATGATGATGGTGGTGGTGGTGATGATGGTGGTGGTGGTGATGATGGTGGTGATGGTGATGATGGTGGTGGTGATGATGGTGGTGATGATGATGGTGATGATGGTGATGGTGATGATGATGGTGGTGATGGTGATGATGGTGATGATGGTGATGGTGGTGATGGTGGTGATGATGGTGATGGTGGTGGTGGTGATGATGGTGGTGGTGGTGATGGTGATGGTGGTGGTGATGATGATGATGGTGGTGATGGTGATGATGATGATGGTGGTGATGGTTATAATGATGGTGATGATGGTGGTGATGGTGATGGTGATGGTGGTGGTGGTGATGGTGATGATGATGATGGTGGTGATGGTGATGGTGGTGGTGGTGATGAT